GCTCTGCCTTAATTATTAACCCATTTCTGCTGATCTATGTATTTCTCTTACCGGGGAGCCGGCGGCATACTGCTTTCTCCAGACTCTCCATCTTGGCTCCTCCTTCCTACTTCCTATTTCCTCCTTGTCTCCTAGTCCCTCCTATCTTCCTTTCCTATTGGCCAACAGTGCTTTATTATTAACCAGTATGAGAAACGTATATACATAATGGCATCTCCCATCAATTGTGTCTGTGTGTATGTGAGGGACAGAGAAAGAGAGAGAGGGAGGGAGAGGGTAGGAGAGAGAGAGAGAGAGAGAGAGAGAGAGAGAGAGAGAGAGAGAGAGAGAGAGAGAGAGAGAGAGAATGTTGCATGTAGGCATAGTTGTTAGAGGACAACCTCAGATGTTAGTCTTTACTTCCTAACCTTGTCTGAAACAGGGTGTCTTAGTTGCTTCCCACTATGTGTACAAGCTAGCTGGCTCACCTGAGTTTCCAGGGATTCTTCTATCTCCACCTCCCATCTCACTGTATATACCCTACCATCTTCAGCCTTGTTTGGTTTCCTGAGATCAAATCCTGGTATTCATGCTTGCAAAGCAAATGCTCTTACACACCAAGCCATTTCCTCAACCCACCATTTAAGGTATTTCTGCTTTCATAGTTGCTAGCTCACGACTTATCTAACTTCAGGCACTAATGCTCCAATTTCCTAGGATGTGTGAATATGTGGACCACCTGCATGAACATTTCAAGTATCCTGTGGTAATCAAGCATGCCTCTTATCTGCCTCCCAAGGTAAGTTGAGGCCCAGGACATGCTGCATACATTCTGCCAGCAGCTAGTGTGCTCCTGTACAGGAACCATCAAGCCTCTGACTTTTTAAGAATTGATTTTTTTCTGTACGGTTATGGCACACACCATTTTTTGTTTGTTTGCTTGTATTTTTTTTTTTTTTTTTTTTTTTTTTTTTTGAGACAAGGGTTCTCTGTGTAGCTTTGTAGACTAGGCACATGCCTTTACTCCCAGTACTTGGGAGGCAGAAGCAGATGGATCTCTGTGAGCTCTAGGCCAGCCTGGACTACATAGAGTTCTAGGACAGGCTTCGAAGCTACAGCAAAACCCTGTCTTGAAAAACAAAGCTAAAAATAAAAAATTGACTTTCCATATCTAGAAATAAATGTCTTTCTAGTAACGGGTATCAAATCATCAAATATGCAGCTAGTTTTATGTTATCATAACACAAGCTAGAGTCGTTTTTTTGAAGAGAAAACCTCAACTGAGAAGATATCAAGAAGACCAGCCTGAGGGCAAGATTGTGATATGGATGAGCCCAGCTTACCACACCCTGGACAGGTATAGTACTAGATGACATAAGAAGGTAGACTGGCAAGTCATGAGGTACAAAGCAGTATTATTCCTCAGTTCTTGCCCACTTGAGTTTCCTGTCCTGATTCCCCTTGTGTGACCTGAGAGATATAAGCCAAAGTAAATCATTTTGTCCCCAAGGTGTTTTTTGATCAGTTTTTTAAAATAGAAATTCTAAGACGTAAAGCTACAGTCACATTTCTGAAGTTGCTGAGCCCTCAAAACACATTCCTTCTGCCCTAGGCCAGCACCATATGCACCTTAGCAACCTAACAGATTTTGACTACAGTTTTGTGACCTGGACCATTTATCCTAATTTTGTCCAGATTACAGCTCATTTTCACCAACAGATTTAAGGTACCAAAGTTTTAGTTTCACTAACAATTCAGGTAAGTAGCCACCAAGTGTGACCCTCTGTCTTCTTTTAAAAAACAAAACAACAACAACAAAAAAAAGAAAACCCTTTCATTGTAAAGCTTTATTTTTAATTACGCGTGCGTGTGCGTGTGTGTGCGTGCGTGTGTGCGTGCGTGTGTGTGTGTGTGTGTGTGTGTGTGTGTGTGTGCAGGCATCCTGGGAGGCCAAAGGAGGCAATCCCCTGTAACTGGAATTACAGGAGGTTATTAGTTGCTGACATAGGTGTTGGGAACCATACTGGGTCTGGAAGAGCAGCAAGCATTCTCAACTGCTGAGCCATCTCTCCAACCCTTAAACTTAATTTCTTTAAGTACCGAATTACCTCTGGATTAGATTTGTAAGTATTTCTAGAAGCAGCAGAAACCAATGTTAACATGTCCCAATCTGCTGTCTTTGCCAGGATGCAGGCTACTCAACAGAAATGAAGGAGGAATCAGTAAAGAAACACCAATACCCAGATGGAGAAGTCTGGAAGAAACTCCTTGTTGCTCAAAATTTATGTGTTCAGCCCTAACACTTTTTTTCTGAAGGGGAAATGCTTAAAATTCTGGAACTTTATAAAAGTAGAAAAAAAATCAAGTCTAGCTATAGGCCATACTCACCTTAGAAATTAACTGTCATCATGATTGATGGTCAACAAGTCAGTATCCCTTTTTTTTTTCTTTATAAAGCAAATGTACCTAACCCAAAGCCCAGGAAGATGGCAAATCTCTATCAAATGCTAGATATTAAGGTATAATTTGAAAACAAGCAATGCTTCATAAATTTCTGTAATAATTCCTCATTCTAACACTTGTCATAAATCAGAATAAAACTGGTTCTACATCACTGTAAGGGATCTGATAAAGCAACAAAAAGGATTCACTCATTTGTCCTGTCATGGGAGATGTCATTCTGTAAATACGTTTCTCTTTCTGGTTATTAAATAAAGCCCTGTTGGCCAATAGGAAAGCAAGATAGGTGGGACTAAGAGGTAGGAGATTCAACATGTAGGGGGCCAGGAGAACAGAGGTACCCAACTTCTCTCTGACAAGATAAGACCACATGAAAATACTTAGATTGATAGAAATGGGTTAATATTTAAGACAGAGCTAGCCAATAAGAAGCACTAGTAACAGGTCAACAGATTTATATCTAATTAGTGTTTATTTGTTATTTGGGGCTGGCACGCCTGTGGGACCAGGCTGGTGGGAAAACATGCTCGTAACAGTCCTGAAATGGTTTAACATCCCCTCTGCTATCAATCTTAGCATTTTAGGGAATTCACACCCCAGTGAAATTAATGGGGACAAATGGTATTTCTTCATACTTTCATAATGATCTTAGCCAGGCATGGGAACTCCAATTTATAATCCTAGCATGCAGGAAGATGGAAATGGAGTTGTGCCACACATTTGAGGCTAGCCTCAGGTACAAACTAAGCTCCAGGTCAGCGAGGGCTAAATTTTGAGACATATCCCCATACCACCTCCCACTCCAACAAATAAAACCTTAAAATGTGATTTAAAACCTTCTGATGGCCAGGTGGTGGTGCACACCTTTAATCCCGGCACTTGGGAGGCAGAGGCATACTGATCTCTGTGAGTTTGAAGTCAGCCTGGTCTGGAGCTAGTTCCAGGTCAGGCTCCAAAGCAATACAGAGAAACCCTGTCTTGAAAAAAAATTTAAAAAAAGATATGTGTATATTTAATAAAAATGCCTCCAGCATGTACTCCCCTAGCTTGTACAGGCTGTACCCTTTCAGCATACTCCTGGTTTGTTTTTTTGTTCTTTTTTTAAACAGATGTTGAAGATTCTTAAATTGACTGAACTTATAAAATCTTGATGGTCTAGCAAGATAACAGGTCATAAGACTAACTGCTCTTTTTGCTTTCCTATTTAAATTTGCCTACTCAGTTCAAAAAGATAACTAGGACAACTGCAAGACATATGTTAAAAATCAGACCCTGACTACATTGAGGCAGAATACATGTAATCTTTTGGGCTTTGCACCTTTACAAGCCTGGACTGAGGTGACTAGATGCTGTATCTTGCACGCACTCTCAGGTGCAGACCTGGCCCCAATCATTCAAGGTGCCAGATATATAAAGCATCTTATTAAATTTATTCATTTCACTGTAGTGGTTTTAAACAAAATATCCTTAAAAGGGGGCAGTACTATTATGTGTGGCTTTGTTAGAGTAGGTGTACTTTTGGAGAAAGTGTGTCACTGTGTTTGTGTGTACGTGTGCTTGGAGAACTCCTATGCTCAAACTATTCCCAGTGTCACACTACTCTCAGCTACTTCGACAACACCATGTCTACTTGCATTCTGCCATGTCTCACCATGACAATGTACTGAACCTGTGAACTATAAACAAGCCACTCCAATTAAATGTTTTCCTTTTATAAGAGTTGCCATGGTCATGGTGTCTCTTCACAACAATAGAAACCCCAACTAAAACAGTCATGGTGAACCTCTGAGCAATTGCAGACCCTTAACAATCTTAAGTGACCATTATATTCTCATATAAAATATAACTATACTTAAGTACAATAGGAGAAAAGAGTTTAGTCTACTTTACTAAATATAATTTAACTATCAGGCCTAGGCAAGGCCTAGGTAGAGTAAGACCCTACCATACAAACAAAACAAAAAACAAAACAAAACAAAAATAGGGCTGAGGATGTGTGTGGCTACCTTGGTACAGTACTTGCCTAGCATACACGAAATTCTGGGTTAAATATTCAATACATGCCTACAATCCCAGCAACTAGGAGATAAGTCAGGAGGGTGAGGAATAAAGTCACCCTTATCTACAGAGTAAGTTTGAGGTCAGCCTGTGATACGTAAGACCCTGTCTCAACAAGAAGCTAATGAAACCTTAGGGTTTTTAGGTCAATCTGTTCTAGTCAGAAACTTGAGCCTGTCACCATTTCTAACCAAACTCTCTCAAACTGTGCTCTGACCTATATACATGCACACACTAACAAACACTAATTTGAAAATTTTTAACTTACAAATTCAAAACAATTCTTTATTACAACAGCATATAAAACATTTAGAAGTAAACATTGTAACATACTTCAAGTTTAGAGGAATAACATGTGCATCTCTGCAGCCATCTTCATATAAATGCCTGGTTGTTTTTGCTGAGTATATGATCTCAGCTTTTTTATGTACCTCAGTAATACTAAAGGAAAGGCAGTGATGCTTTATACATTGATGTTAGCTACAGATATAGCACAGTCAGAGTTTTGTTTTACTTTATTTTCCTTTAGAGAAAAACTTTTTACCCTGGGCATCAGGCTTGAAACCTGAAGTCTGATGGTATTCACAACATCTTTGAAAGAGCTCTAAACAGCCATTTCCATTTTAATAGTTGGATGTGGATTATAACCTTCAATCTGAAAGTCTTCAACTTTGAAATCATCAATTGTCTCAACTTTTCGAAGGATTTTGAGCTTTGGGAAAGGTCTTGGTTGTCGCTGAAGCTAAAAACAAAAATCATGGTATTATTTTACATTCGTTCCCACAGTATTTTATCACAATACCAACACAGTATTTTATCACAAAGTACTATTTTACAGGAGTGCAATACTGTACTGTCTTTTCTTTCTACAACACTGGGGACTGCACCTAGGGCCTTATGAGAGTTACATAGGTAATCTGCCATTAAGTTATAGCCCAGCTCTTTGTTTACTTTTTATTCTAAGACAGAGTCTTGGTCAGTCATCTAGGCTTATGCTGAACTCTTTCTGTAGCCCAGGCAATCCTTGAACTTGGAATGCTCCTGCTCCTGTCTCTTAAGTAGCTGTGATTACAGGCTGAAGCCACCAGATAACTCTTGACAAATATATTGAACATAGGGACACAGTTTACTTTTCTGGGTCTAATTTTTTTTCCCCTCAATGTTCACTACACATGGACACTCATATTCTTATTACCATTTCATTTGTTGGCTGTTGTACTATAAGAATTTGAAAGGAATTTAAAAGGACAGGCTTTTTAAAGTTCAATCCTAAGTACTGTACTTAAGTATAAAACTAATGCCAACTGGCTCTTCTGTTAGTACTGGTAAGTTACTTAATACCTTAACATGTTCTGTGCTTATGGCCACCTGCTTATCTCCCTTATTAAAAGCCCTGCCTTTGGAGCACTTCAATAAGAGACAGCATCAACCAGAGTGCCTGTGATATAAAGGATGCCCTGCCATCTAATCTTTTGTCAAGAGAAGACACCAAGCTCAAAAGAAATAACAGGTATATTTCTTACCTGAATTTTCAGTGGCTCAATATGATTCAGATAAATATGTGCATCTCCCAAAGTATGGACAAAATCACCTGGCTAAAAATGTACCAAAAGAGAGAACACAGTCAGTATTTTAATTTACACTCTTTTAAAAAATACATTTTAAAACAGATTAGTGTCTGTTGATGCGGCTCCATAGGTAGACACTTGCCACCAATCCTGACAACCTGAGCTCAATCTCTGGGACCCACATGGAGAAAGAGAAATGACTCATGCCAATTTTTCTCTGTGAAACATGTGGGCCACCCATGCATACATACACAATAAAACAGTTTTATATGGTATGCAGATAGTTTAAAGCTTTTCAAAAAAGTAATTTTACCAGTGTTGTTTTTGAGCAAAGCTAATTTTTTTAGGTTTTTAGGTTGTGCATGATGGCTTACACACATAATCCCAGCACCTAGAAGGTTGAGAGAGTAGTGCCTAAGTGAAATGGACTAAAGTCTTATGTAATAGTCAATGTTATTCAGAGCATTAGACAGTTCATACTCTGAGGGTTAAAAGTCATGTGAATAAAGTCTACAATCACAAAGACCAGCAACACATGGAAAAAAATGTCTTTCCATAGAGTCATATGAAGAACAACAGCTGAAGTAAACTCACTCCTATCTGATACACATGGGAGGAACATAAAAATACATTTCAAGAAAAATACTATGTACTAAAGGAAGATGAAGTCATAAGACTCTTGTTTTCTTGGGGTTTTCTCACAACCACTCACAATTCTCAAGACTCCATTCTTAGACTATGTTCTGACATTGAGACAGGAGGATTGCTGTATATTCAAGGCTAGTCTGTACTAGAGAATAATACCATGTCTCCAAAAAAGAAAAAAAAAAAAAAGTTCAAGCAGCCTATAGGAATGTTAGTTTCCATAGGCAACAAGGTAGTTCCAAGGAGGGTTACAAGGTGAGCCAGTACATGTCTTATTTATATGCATAAATTTTTAATACTAATGAGACTGAATTCCCCACTACTAGTTTAGTACATTACTCTGGCTATAACCATGCCTTCTGAAAGCAGCTCACCTTCAGGCCCGTGATGTGTGCAATCATGTAGGTAAGGAGGGCATAGCTGGCAATGTTGAAGGGCACACCCAAACCCATATCTCCTGACCTCTGGTAAAGTTGGCAAGACAGTTCCCCATTTACCACATAGAATTGACAGAGTGCATGGCAAGGAGGCAGTGCCATCAGGGGAAGATCTGAGGAGTCAATGTGGGAAACAAGGAGGGGATTAGAGAACATAGCTACGAAAAAGGTAAAATAGAAAACAAGCCAACCATGAAAATAAGTTATTAAGTTATAGACACCCACAACTCACACCTTTTCACTATGTCAAAGTCAGACCATTTTCCCAACCCTGCAGCTGAGGTACTACAAGCTTGTCCATTAGCATAAGGTATCTGCAAGTATGCATTCATGCTGAAGCAATGCTCTTTCATCTGAGCTAAAATTAAGGATTTGGTGCTGTTGATGGCACTTAATAAAAGGTAAACTATTTAATTTGCAAAGGCCATAGGAAACTTGCATCTGAGGCACATCTTTCTGTTTTAAGTCTCTATTAGAAATACGAAATGGCCAGATGGTGGTGGCACACAACTTTAATCCCAGCACTCAGGAGGCAGAGACAGGCGGATCTATGCAAGTTTGAGACCAGCCTGGTCTACAGAGCAAGTTCTAGGACAGGCTCTAAAGCCACAGAGAAACCCTGTCTTTAAAAATCAAAACAACAACAACAAAAAACCCAAAATGTCATTTCCTGGGTACTCACTATACCCTGGTAGAGTTTAATTTTATAATGTAGTTTCAAGTTAATACTTGAAACTTCATGTACTCCAAATTAAAAAAATTAAAAACATAGGTGTATTTTTATAGGCAATTTAATGCTCCTTTAATATAAATGCATAAATAGGTTCATGTGGGTCTAATGAAGGTGGTAACAGAGCAAAGTGTGAGTGAGTTGCTCAAGGATGCACTATCTAGAGGATGCACATGACTAGAGACAGTTCCAGTGCTGTGCCTCAGGCCACCTTGCTTCCCTTTGGCTAAGTGGCTAGTTTATCTAAAGGAAGATGACTGGGATGCTGTCCACCTTTTGGGTTCCAGGCACACATGATGATTCTTCTGTCATCAGGGTTGGTTTTGATGGTGTCAATCACTTTTTGCAGCTGGTCTACTCCTTGACCCGAGTAATCTGTAGAATTGTCAGGAGAGGATATACACACTTAAGTCACATCAGTCACAGCCTCTCAGCTGATGATCCTGACTGCATTCAGTCAGTGCTCCTCCCTGATCCATGGTTCAAAGATACTCAGATCTTGCAGGACTATGGAACTACAACAAAATCTAAGTTGTTTTCTACATAATTCTTTTAAATTCTTAGTCTGTTTCAATGTCACTTCCTCCCATTAATATTACCCGTTGCTAACTGCTTTTTTGGATATGCTTTGAATGTGTCCCTCCAGGGTGCATAAATGCAATTCTTTTTTGGGGGGTAGAAATTTAACTAAATTACATAGCCTTTAAGAAGTGATTAGGTTTAGAAAGTCATTAGGATGGAGTTCCATGATTGAATCCTAGTGGTTTCATAAGAAACCAAAGGAGACATACTTTTCATCTTTCATCATCTAACACAGTGTCCTCTTGGAGTTCTGAAGACTACCATCAAAATGTAGGCATCTGAACCACTGGCACTGATATCTAACACAGCTTCCTAAACTATGAGTTTGTGAGCTGTGGAAAAATAAACATGCAACATACAAACACTAATTCAAAATCAAATGCATCAAGAACCAGAGATGGCTCTGACAGAGTTGCCCTGTATTCATACTGGCACTTCACTGCAGCCATGGTTCTGAATACACATACATGATTTGCACTCTACAATAATGTGAAGCACCAACAAATATTCCTGAAACACTTTAGGTCTGATTTAAGACAAGTGATTATAAACTGTGATATTTTATTGTACAGTTTGCTGCTTTTCTAGAATCATAATTATGAGAGTTATTTCCTGACTCTCATTCCTTGGCATGTATATTCAAATTGGTACATTTTTATTTTTGTTGGGAGTGGTGCGTGAATGTGTGTGAGGCGTGAGTAGGAGTGCATGTGTCAGTGAGATTTTGTTGTAGTTTCTCCACCATAACCCAGCACAGCTTCTCACAAAGTTACTTATCAACTCCCATGATGTGGATTTATACCCCATACTCTAAAATGGATCTTTGATGATAAATACCCAGAAAACCCGAGGCATTACTATCTCCTCACCTGAATCCATATCTTTGTAGTCTGCTCCAAAATGTCTCCACTGGAAACCATAAACTGGGCCCAGGTCTCCTTCCTGTCGTGCAGAGAATCCCAGGCTGTCCAAAAAATCTCGAGACCCATTGGCATCCCATATTCTCACTCCCTTGGAGGACAGTTCTTTAGCATTTGTGGAGCCCTGGAAAAAATGAGAGTAGAACAGACATAAATGAGGATTCAGAGCCATTCATCTATCCATGGCATACTATCCATGTGCAGCCTATCTTTAAGTCGTGGCCAGTGCTCTGAGGGATTATAGGATGAACTTACTCCTTATTAGAAATTTCCTCAAGGTATTTCTTCTATTCCCTTCAACTTTTAAAAAATCTTTGTGTATGTATATGTATATATGTATGTTTAAGCATGCCATGGTGGTGCCTGTATGGAGGAGCTAGCGAGCTAGCTCGTGAGCTTCCAATAGATTCTCAGCTCCATCTCCCATAGAAGTACTTGGATTAGATGGCACTACCAAATAGGGTTTTTCTTTTCTTTTCTTTTCTTTTTTTTTTTTTTTTTTTTTTTTTTTTTTTTTTTTTTGGCTTTTCAAGACAGGGTTTCTCTGTCTAACATTCCTGGCTGTCATGAAACTTACTTTGTAGACTAGGCTGTCCTGGAACTCACTGAGCTCTGCCTGCCTCTGCCACCCAAGTGCTAAGGTTAAAGTTGTGGGCCACCACCACATGTGCCTAATAGGGCTTTTCAAATGAGGATTCCAAGGATCCAAACTCAGGCTGTCAGATTTATGTGGCCGAGTGCTTTTTTCCACTGAGCCATCTCACCAGCTAAGTCCCTCCAAGTTCCTAAAACATTCCCATCTAATTTGACTGGTTTGAGTTGCTTAATCAAATATGTTCCATGTCTAAGTGTAATACTCCATGTGGACTTGTTTAATGTTCCATGTGCAATCTGTTCATGTGCCATATCTTTGGCTAAAGGATTTCTAGTGATAATCAGTAGCTAGCTTTTTTATGTGCCTGGGTACCCCAGCCCATGCAAACCAGAGAAGATACTGGCTGTTCTACTCTATTATTTTCTACCTATTCCCTTGAGACAGGGTCCCTGAGTAAAGCTAGAACTTGTTTGCGCTAGACTAGTGGCCAGCAATCATCATAGATCCTCCTGTGTCCACCTTCCCTTTATAGCACTGAGGTTACAGACATATGCAATTAGACTCAGCAATGCTTTTTTGTTTATTTTTATTTTATGTGTTTGGAAGTTTTGCCTATATGTGTGTGCACCATGTGCATGCAGTACCCAAGGAGAGTAGAAGAGGGAGGGGGACATTTTGAACTGGAGCTACAGATGGCTAGCCATTAAATGGGCAAAATGGGTGCTAGGAACTATGTCCCAACTCCCCACTCCAACAACAAGAGCAACAAATGCTCTTAACCCCGGAGCCAGCTCTCTATTCCCATACCCAGAATATTTATGTGACAGCTGGGGAGGGGTTGAACTCAGGTCCTCATGCTTGTACAACAAGCCCTCTTTACTTACTGAGCCATTATCCCAAGCACTCTGAACTTGGAGTATGGCCCAGAACTCATCTTGTTTCCTGGAGTCTTCTCAACCAGCACTGGACAGAACCTCACCTTTTCTGGGCCACGACACAGAGGAGGAACTTGTGTCTACTACCATCTGTCATTACAGCATTCCAATAAAAACAAGGTACCTACTTAACACGTTAGTATCTATCAATCAGCAATGAATATATGCTGAGTACCTACTGCGTGGCTAGCTATATTGTAATCCAATAGATTTTTCTGCCTTTGGGGAACTCACAGGATATTATACTTATTTATCTCCCATCCAGAAGAGGGAAAAGTTGATTAATAGGTCAGCTGATGAGTCCTTATGAAGAGAAACAAGAGGTAACTAGAAGGTCAAGGCTGTCTGGAAGGAGGGGAAAGAACCATACTCCACATAGAAGGAAATGGTACTAGATAATGGGAATAACAAGTGTCAGAAGCCTGGGCAGGATTATCCTAATGTGCTCAGATTGGTGAAGAAAGGAGGAAGGATGGGCGAGAGAAAAGCATCTAAAGCCAGAGATAGAAAATGAGCCAGTGGGAACAGGTAACAGCTGCAAGCTTGATGTCTAATGCTTGAGTTGTGGAGACAGGCAGCTTCCAACAGCAACACCATCCTTACCTTAATAAACCACAGCAACTCCTCCAAAACTCCCTTCCAGAACACTCGTTTGGTTGTGAGCAGAGGAAATTCATCTGAAAAAAGTTTGTAACAGTTAAAATGTGGTAAAATACTGCAAGCCATCATCTGGCTTTCTCTGTGGAGAGAAACTGCCTGGTACATAAAATACTGGAGAGCTTTAGGAAAACTAGCTACATGTAAGTGAGTGAAACCACAGTTCTTCATTGACACCGGGGTACCCATATGGCAAAGAGAAAGAGCCCCCACTCACTCCTGAGCCACTGTGAATGCTGTCACTGTTGTGGAATGACAACACCCAAAATGTAGCCTAAGATACAACCTAAAAGATCCCATACCCAACTCTACCATGCTCCAGGCAGAGATGATATCACACTGGTTAAAACCTGAAAAACAGTTTTAATATATTTGGTAAGCAACCTGACTTAGTTTGTACCTCGGAATGGCCACCATGGAACCCAAAGGCAATACAGAAAGAAGAGAGACAAAGGGGCGGAGTGGCGATGGACAAGGTAATGAGGAAAGGCTCTGGCTATGGTTGCAGCCTGAGTATGTTTCCTAAGACAGAAATATTTACATCCTTAACATCTACACGGGAAAGCTGAACGAAGACTTGTCTACAGTATAAGCAGAGTAAGTAGCCTAAACTTGGGTATGTGGCTCATCAGAGTTCACTGTCTCAGGAGGCTACGCACACTGGATTAATCTGTGCAGTAGCTGCTGTAGTTCCCAGCTCCAAAACATGTTGGAGACTAAGTATACTTCATTTAAAGCTACTCTCTAACCCAGTGTCAGACTGCTCTTCATCCTAAAGGCCATCTTAACCCAGCCATCCCCAACACCTAGAAGTCCTGTCCCCTACCAAGTTTCTGTGCTTGATTCCTGATGCCCACCATCCCCCCCAAAGAGCATTTCTTCCCTGGGGCAACACTGTAGGCTTACACAGCGTTTCTTCCCAGGGGCTACTCTGAAGACTTACACATCCTCTCGGTTCCTCTTTAAAAGCAAAGGCTGTTGGGGGAAACCCCGGTTTCCCCCTCCAGCATTGGTTCACCCTTTCCCACACCTCTTTAGCACCGCCCAAGCCATTTTCGCTCCAATTTTAAAGACAGTTGTAAAGGCGGACAGGAGATAAGGTAGAAGGAAGAGGCGGAGCAAACGCAGGGATCTCGGGGCAAGGTTTGGACAAGCCCTGAGAGGTTTTCCTCTACTCTGTCCTTCGGGAGCTGGCTCCGGGAGAGGCGGCCTAACCCTGTTTAAGGACAAGTGGCCTTTGGGAGCTTGCTTACCTGCAGTAGCTACCACCTATAGGCTCTAGGGCGGCAACGCCAAGCTTAGGACTGACTCTTAGAGCTGGGGTTAGAAGTAACCGTGGCCCCCAGCCCCGCACTTCAGCGCGCCCAGCCCGCCGGACGTCCTCCCGCAGTCCCTCCCCTTAGTAGGGATCAGCCACGGTCACCTCTCAGGCTGTATCGCGCCTGCATGCCAAACACCGACAAGGTGCCAGTGCCTGTACGGTCCTCCTTCTTGAAACCGCTGCGCATAATGTGCTCCACCTGCTCCAGGTACTGCAGCTCCCCATGCCGCGGTGCCTCTGCGCCCTGCTTCTGTGCGGCGGAGTGCAGTTCGGAGCCGATGACTGGCATAGCGGAGAGTAAGCAGCGATGTGGTGGGCGCCAAAACCGGGACCTTCCGCGCGCGCGCGCGCTCTTTTCCCCTACATTTGGCGCGCCCCGCCTCTTCCTGTTGGGAAGCTTCTGGCTAGCCGTAATTGTCGGACCAGGAACTAACCCTGAATTCCTGGAGCGTGCATGGTAAAACACCCGCCAGAGTTCCCAAAACTCTTGATTTACTCTATTTTTGCATTAAACGTCTATAAGATCAAGGCGTGGTGACGCACGCCAGTAATTCCAGCTCGTGGTAGGTCGACTATCAGGAATTTAAGGGCAATCCTTTACTTCATAGCAAGTTCATACCCCAGCTCAAGAAGAGCCTTTGCTTTACACTGAAACACACCCATCTCCTGCCTCTTGATTCACTGACCATTTAGGATTTCGTTTTCCAAGCCAGAGAAGGGATTGGTTCCTTGTTCTTACAAATGTAAAACGAAACCCTGTTATTTGAATTCTGTTGTTTACATCTAAAAGGACAGGGCCACAGCATGACTATGTTCCCCATGCTGAAGGCTATCAGCTGGAAGAAGTGGAAGATAAACATTGTAAAATTAATGCCTTTCAAGCATTCTTTAAAGTGTGTACATTTAGTATACGTGGTGTGTGTGTGTGGGGGGGGATTCTGCTTACACACTAGAGGTATGGGAATGACTCATGTCATCAAGCTTGGTGGCAAGCTCCTTACGACGAAGACATCGCTACCACTCAGCTCAAGTTTTGTAATTGTAATGCCATATTTTTTCAGTTTTAAGGGAAGGTTTATAAGGTAAACATTGATGGGTAGAACCATTTGATGAGTTTAAAATATGCCAATGCACCTTTTTTATATGCAACAAGATGTCTCTATCTACCACTTTATTACCCAATAAACTTTTTAAATTTTGGTTATGTCTGGGGATACGAAGGATTGGGGCTTTACTGAAACTTACAAAACATATCAACTTTTTCTTCCTCTGAGAATTGAACCCAAGACTTCCCACATGTTCACACCAATACTGACTGATAAACTCACCCCAAACCTGTATTTTTTTTGGTTTTTTTCCTACAGCTCATGTTTGTCATTGTTGCATATGGTATGAGTTGGATAAGAATCCACCTCCCCCCCCCCCCAAAAAAAAGACCTATGTGTTAAAAAGGCTTGCCCACCAGTCTGTGGTGTTTAGTGACTGTTAGAATCAGGAATTGTACTAGCTTGCCTCTTTCAGCCTGAAGCATACTCCCACTAGCATGGAGTCAAATATTTATCCAGCCCAGGGACCCTACATCACTGCTCCATGTGCATCGTCTGTGTAAGGCTCTGGACTGATGGGCACAGTTGTGATTCCAGGGGACCCAGGTTCAATTTCCAGTACCTACCCAGCAGCTCACAGCCACTTGTGTAATTTCTCTTCTGGCCTCTGTGGGCACCAGGTAAATACACAAAAGCAAAACACCATATGCATAAAACAAAATAATTATAAATAAAAATTTTATGATGGAATGGGTTCTATAAGAGATTAAATAATTGTCTTACCTGCAATCCTGCTTATTTAGTTAGCTAAGACAATGTCAAATATTTCTATATTGTTTTGTTTTATAAAACATCCCAAATTTCAAAAGAAATTTGTAAAAATGGTTGGTAATTGTGATTTAATTAAAAGTATTATGGGAAATATTTCACAAGCTTGGTAGTGGAAATTTTGTATTCTTGCTACTAAATGTGTGTTTACTAAAGTCATACTGAATGTAAATGCATGAGTTACAGGATAACAGTAAATTGAACACAATGCTAGTCTGGCTTTTTCTAGATCAACTGAGACTCTTCACCCCACTGCTTCTCCACCCAAATTCTTACTAGTGTAAGTACACTAGTGTAAGTACTAGTGTAATTACAGTTCTTCCAAATCATCAGTGTCTCCTTTGAGACGTTAGATCCTCCTTTGTGAAGCAGAGAAAAAAGTAATATGTTTTCCTTACCTATCACAAGGTCGTGGCTAATGCTATATAACAAAGACGGGTGAATATAAGTTAATTAATATGTTTACATGGCACAGAAGACTTCACACTAAATGCTAAGAGCATCTTTAGGTAGTACCCAATGCCTACATGAGATACTTTCCTGCTTTACTTTAATATTCCTACCTGATGTTTCCATTAATGTGTTTGGAAAATGCCTTCATTTATGTCTTTATTTGTGTTTCTACTATAAAAAGTTCCTGACACTGACACCGCATTGGAGCAGTGTTTTCAGTAACTGAATCTATGTTCTTGGAGTCAGTTACTTATATTTGACTCTGGAATAAACTACCTTTATTCCCTTTGAAGTAGGAGCTATGTAACCTAGTTTTCTGGTTTTTTGGGGAGGGGTTTGGGTGGTGGTAGGTAGGGAGCAGTTATGTAGAAAATTATTGAGGATAAGAGTCTCATCTCATAGCAGAAGGGAAGGAGGTGGAATTTGGAAACACCTGTCTGTTCATATTTGTGTTGGCTCTTTATAGGATAGGTATGGTGATATTCTGTTTGTGCTCAAATAAATAAAGCTTGCCTGAAAATTATTAGGTGGATCTAGCCACAAGTTAAGCATAGAGGCCAGGTTGTGGTGGCACATACCTTGAATCCCAGCATTTGGGAAGCTCATACCTTTGATACCATTACTTGGGAGGCACACACCTTTAATCCTAACACTAGAGAAGAGGAAATGGGAGGTGATATGTCTGGTTGACGAGAGAAATATAATCTGGGCAGAGACATGAGCCCCCCCCCATTCCTTTTTGAGGCTGAGGAGTTGGTGAGTTAAGAAGCGGCTGTGAATTGCTCCTTTGTCTCTCTGATCTTTCAGCATTTACCCCTATATATGATTCTGGGTTTTTATTAAGACCAATTAGAATTTGTGCTACAGGTAGGGATGTCTTCGATATTTTATATTCAGGAAAGATAGGTCAAAGAATTCTTGGGAATTTCTGGGAGAAAGGTGGGACACAGTGATAGCAATCTCCTTCCTTACTTCAGCTTAAAAAACATAATATGTCAAGGTGTATTCTGTATACTGTATGTTGAATCCTTCTGTATGTTGTGCTATGAGCTTTCTGATGGCTGTTTGGGAAGACACAGTTGCACTGTCAGAAATGTGAGCTCAAAAAGCAGTAGATGGGCTTGAACTCATTTGAGGAGAACACTCCTAGGTGTATACAGATGATGGATTGAGTGAGTTGAGGTTCTGGGTATCAGGAAGCTGCATGACTTCTAAAGGAAACCTTCTCTGGTGCTTTGGATGGGACTAAGTGTTATTGACTGTCATAATGCAGGATGCTGGTATGCCTTCAGAAAGCCAGCCAAATGTATACATTCCTTTTCAGCTCTGTACCAAAAAAAGAGCCCACATTTTTTTAGCCACTAGTAGAATCTTATTCAGAAAATAACCCAGACTATCCAGTTGCATGTTACTTTGTGCTAATTTTCTCTGTGTTGAGTCTGATCCCCAGCTCCTGCCTCCCTGAGCACTTGGTCCCTGTTCAGCCCATTCTGGGTCATTCACCTTTGTTCAGTCTCCGCCCATTCTCTTAGCTGTGCTTGTCTTTACTTATAAGTAAAGAAAAACCCAAACTCTCATAGGTTGGGGAATTCCAGTCTGACTTCTCAGTATTCTAGTGCCTTGACACTTTGCTCTTACCACCTGGTTTGTAACGGTCTCCTTTGCTGCCTCCTTCGTTTGATTATACAAATACATATATAGTTAACCAGGTAATTACTTTTCTTTTTAATAAGTGAAGGAAGAAAAGATGGGAAGAGAGAAGGGGTAAGGAAAGAAGGAAAGGAAGAGAGAAAGGAAATATATGTAGGTCAGAACTTTCTCCCCTCTTGGAAAGTGAACAGCTCTTGCCCAAATTTCCCAACTTATATGGATGGACTCAGTAATTCCAGCCCTGCATTACTAGGGTGTGTGTGTGTGTGTGTGTGTGTGTTCATTCATTCGAGAGTGTGCTTATATTGTTCTTTCTGCTGAAAAGAGCTATTCTGGAATAAGATCTTGTTGAATTCTTCATTTTCTTATCCTCAGTACCTGGATCCTGGGTCATAACCCAATATGTATAGAAAAGATGGCAACTGACTGACATAATGGGCCTCCAATTTTCAGAAGGACTGAGTTTGATCACTCATGGACTCAGTGGATGGAATGAGAGAATCAATTCATACAAGTTTTCCTCTATCTCCACACCTACACATATACACACAATAATATAAATTAATTATGAAAAAAACTTGGAGGTAAAGGTATGAGAGGCAGTTTATCTGTTATTATTGCCCTTGATTATACATTGATAGTGGTATACTAAAAGGATTCCTTTTGAATGATAATTTAGAGTTAAAATGTGACCTTTGTGTCTTGCTTGTTTAGACCAAATCCATATGGTCATGGTTGGATGTGGAGCAGTGAGTTCCACTTTTCTTCTCCTGTCAATGATTTGAGATCATTTAGCCTTAGACTGTGCCTTAAAATAAGTATTTAAATATTTACTAAAATAATTGGAAAAATACCTCAAAAATGGTTTATAATTAAGACCTGGCCACAGTAGTTGGCAGGTCCTTATTCAAATTCTATAAATAATTTTAAATTTCATAAAGATACTGGCTGGATTTGGTTAATATCTGCTTAACTTGGTTCTTATTTTTAGACACTGATTATTTTCAATATTTTACTGTTTCATGTAATTTTCGAATTTATAGCCCTTGAAGGGCGTTTTTCATTAAATTTATATTTTTTCTTTACATTGATTCTTTCATCAAATTTAGATTTATTCCTTACTTTGATTCCAGAAGTAGAATAATGTGAAAAACAAATTGTATGACTCTGGATACCCAGTGAAATACATTTTGCAAAAGTCAAAGCCAGGCTGGATATGATGGATCATGCCTGAAGGTCAGTCTACCTGGATTATGCAATAAGGGTCGGTTAAAAATAAAAATGAGGGGAAATAATAAAAGGCAAAACCAGT